ACACACACACACACACACACACACACACACACACACACACACACACTGGAAAGGGCAGGGGATAGCAGGATTCCATGGCACATGCCTATAATCCCAGTGACTCAGGAGGCTAAGGAAGGAGGATTGCATGTTCAAAGCCAGCCTCAGCAATTCAGCAAGGCCTTAAGCAGCTTAATGAGTCCCTGTTTCAAAAGGGAAAAAAAGGGGCCTGGGATGTAGCTTAGTGGTTAAGTGTCCCTGTGGGATGGAGGGAAGGAAAGAAGGAGGGGAGGGAGGAAGGAGGGGAGGGAGGAAGGAAGGAAAAAATGAACGAACAAAGGGAGGAAGAGAGGAAGAGAGGAAGGGAGAAAGGGAGGGAGGGAAGGTAGTAAGCAAAATGTCATGTTAAATCCACTAGGATAGCTGTTATCCAAAATTGGAGGGCCATGTGTGTGGCTCAGTGGTAGAGCAAGTTCCAGGTGTATAAGGCCCCGGATTCAATCTCCAACACTGAAGAAAACAAAAACAAAAACAAGATGGAAAAATGACAAGTGTTGTAGAAACCTCATGTATTTTTGGTGGGAATTTAAAAAGATGCAAGTAGTAGTGTAGCTCAGTTGTTGTAGAGTTCATAATTGTCCCAACACCAGAAATCATAATAAACAAATCATAAATAAACAAACAACATCGAAATAATAAACAAAATGAAAGAAACTAAAGTGATGTTCAAGATCAGCCTGAACAACATAATTAGACCCCATCTCAAAAAGGGGAAAAAAAATGAAAAAGATACAGTTGCTATGGAAAATAGTATGCAATTCCTCAAAAGCTAAAAGCTAAACATAGAATTCCCATGTGTCAGCCTATCCATTCCCAGGTATATATCCAAAAAAACATATAAGCCCATTACATAGATGACTAAAGAAACAGAGAAAATACCAAATTCCTTACAAAGAATTCCAAATAGTGTAGAGCTTAATTCCTTTCTACTTGAGTATGAATTGGTCCTGTAACTTACTTCTAAAGAACAGAATTTTGAAAGAAAAATAATAACTTCATGATGGAGAAATCTGGTAGACACCACCTTAACTAAGGGATCATGGTTAATACCATCAGAGATAAGTATGTTGTTAGCATGTATCCCTCAATAAGATACCATGAGAAGAGCACCTTACCTCTATAGTATACTTCCCCAAAACCTATAATCCAGTCAAATCATGAGAAAATATCAGAAAAACTCAAGTTGACAGACATTCTACAAAATACTTGACTGGGACTCTTCATTAAAAACAAAAACAAACAAACAAAAAAAACTGGGGCTAAAGTTGCGGCTCAGTGATAGAGTGCCCGCCTAGCACGTGCAAGGCCCTAGGTTCCATCCTCAGCACCACATAAAAATAAATAAAATAAAGGTATTGAGTCCAACTACAACTAAAAAATAAAAAATAAGTTCAAAAACTGGGCTGGAGTTGTGGCTCAGCAGTAGAGTGCTTGCCTAGCATATGTGAGGCCGTGGGTTCGATCCTCAGCACCACATAAAAATTAATTAATTAACTAAGTAATTTTTTAAAAAACCCTGCTGGGTGAGGTGGCTCATGCCTATAATCTCAGCAGCTTGGGAGGATAAAGTAGGAGGATCTCAAGTTCAAAGCCAACCTCAGCAATGGTGAGGCACTGAGCAACTCAGTGAGACCCTGCCTCTAAATAAAATGTAAAAAATGGGCTAGGGGCTGGGGATGTGGCTCAAGCGGTAGTGCAATTGCCTGGCATGCATGCGGCCCAGGTTCTATCCTCAGCACCACATACAAACAAAGATGTTGTGTCCCCCGAAAACTAAAAAAAAAAATATTAAAAAATTCTCTCTTTTTTTAAAAAAAATAAAATGGGCTAGGGATGTGGCTCAGTGGTTTAAGTGCCTCTGTGTTCAATCCCTAGTACCAGAAAAATAAATAAATAAATACTACCTGTACTATCTTTACAACTTGTCTGTAAATAAAAAATTATTATAAACAAAAAGTTTATTACTCAAAAAACAATAATGTAGAAAGAGTGTGTTGGGGTAGCTCAGCAGTAGACTGCTCCTCCAGCACATGGGAAGCCCTGGGTTCGATCCTTGCACCACATAACAACAAATAAATAAAGATGTTGTGCCAAGTTATAAATAAAAAATACATTAAAAAAAAAAGAGTGTGTTAGTATTCTAAACTCTGAGTTACCTGGCAAGTGAAAAAGGTGTTGATTAATTTGAATTTGGTATGTTAAGACTATATATAGTATAATTACTAAAAGAATGAAAATGGGGTATATGTCTTCCAAACTCACTCAGGGGAAAAAAGGAGCAATACAAAATATGTAACCAATTCAAATTAAAACAAGAAAGGAGTAAATAAGAAACAGGCCAAACAAAACAGAAAACACCAAATAGGATACTTAATCTTCATTCAGTAATTGCATTATTATAATTTTATAACTATCATTATTTTTGTCTTTTGCTTTTTGTTACTAGAAAATGAACAATGGTGGTGGTGGTGGGGAGAGGTTTGTACCACTGAGTTACATCTCCATCTATTTTTTATTATTTTTTAAAATTTGAGACAGGGTCTCACTAAGCCTTTTTTTTTTTTTAAAGAGAGAGAGAGAGAATTTTTTAATATTTATTTTTTAGTTTTCGGCAGACACAACATCTTTGTTTGTATGTGGTGCTAAGGATGAAACCTGGGCTGCACGCATTGAGCCACATCCCCAGCCCCTCACTAAGCCTTGAATATGTGATCCTCCTGCCTGCCACTGCACCCCCCATTGCAACATTTTAAGTAGACTAAATGGTCCAGTTAAATACAAAGATTATAAGAGGAGATTTTAAAGTCCAACTAAAGGTTGTTTTCACATATAAAACATGAATACACAGAAAAGACTAAAGTGAAAAGTTAGAAAACAGAGGATATAACAGAAAATAAAATATTTTAAGAAGTGATCTTTCGTTTCTAATCAAACAATGGTTCCCTCAGCATGGGGCTCAGGCCATCAGAAACCCTGAGCTTTGCAAGTAAGGGGCACCCTGTAGCTATCAAGATGATGCCTAGCTACCTGCTCCCTGAGGCCTTTGGTCCTACGAATTCCCTGTGACTATTACTATTACACTCAACAAAATGGTCCTATATAGTCAGCAGGATTCCTTGATAGGGAAGTATCTCCTTGCCTTTCCATATTAAATCGAGTTCGCTGGCATGGTGCATAAACTGGTGTATTTGGCTCATGAGATGATTCTAGATAGAATCAATCCACAACAAAACCTTTTGGGTGGTCAGAAACCTGTTAAGTTTCTACCTTGAAGAGATAAAAGGGCTTGTTAATGTAGTGAAAGCTCAACTCTGCTCAGGCTAATAGTTTTGAAGTCACATCTCTTTGCACAAGTGTTCATGGAAGCCCCTACTCTCTTCACTACACCAATTCTGCCCCCTGGGGGCTCAGTTATCACCTCCGCCTTACCCACTTCAGCCCAGGTCTGGAAGCTCCCGCGGAGCTCAGTCTATTGAGGTCCTCACCGCCCATCTGGGCTTCGAGTATGTGTTGCCTGAAGGTCCGACACCCTAAGGCCCCGAAGCAGTACCAGGGCAAGCGTGAGCCCGTACACCGCTGTCACTCACCACTGAAGGTGGAAGGTGTGTCCACAGTGGATGGCCGCCACGTCGCGGGAGTGGTCGAAGAAGTCCGAGCAGATAGTGCACAGGGCACGGATAGGCATGATGGCTGGACTCAAGCGGACCAGGTAGCCAAGGAAACTGCAACAGGTCCAACTTCGTGGCCGCGCCCCCGGGTCTCGGCCTGCTTCAAATTTGGCTCCACAGCACGACTTCCGGGAATAAACCGGAAATGACGACACCAAACCGGGAAAAGAGCCTGAATGTTTGGCTCTGATTGGATCAACTCCCGGCGGGGCGGGACCATTGATGAGGTTTAGCGGCCCTCGACCATAGAGAATCCTGGGATTGAGCGCGGTGGCTCTTAGGCGATTTTTAGACACCTCCACCAACCCCCGAGACAAAGGGCACTGCCTTGGATTAGGGCGTAAAGCAGCGACGCTGCGAGATAACCCTTCTTCCAAGCAAAGCTGGCTGTTGTGGTACCAAGCTGGCGCGAAATGACCAGGCCTGGGCTGTCTCTTCTTTCAGCACTCAGGGAAAGTCAAGACTGCAGCCACAAGGGAATGGAACCGTGGTCCCCATGGGTCCCCGGGGTTCTGGGCAGTGCTGAACCTCTTATAGTTCCGCTTATAGAACGCGCACTGGCAGCTTATAGTTCCCAGACCAAAAGAATGCCCCACCCTCTCAGCCTAAGATTATTAGTCATCTTGGAAAGATGGATATGTATGGCCCAACCAATCAGTACGACCCACAGTAACCTTGGCTTTATCTAAGTAAGAGCTAATGATCGCCGCGTTTGGAGATACTAGGGCCAGTAACTTAATTTAGCTCTCACTCCCAGGATTCTTGCCTGAGAATGTAGTAGGGTTGCAATTTTGGAGGCACAAATGCTTCGAAGACCAGGAACCAACAACCCTTTTTATTATTCCCACAAAAGAATAAGTTATTCTTTGAGATTCTCCCTGAGAAAGCAGCAACCCTGGTGAGTTCAACTCTGGGCTAGAGCAAGACTACTTTGGGATCTTCAGCCGTTTTGACAGGGTTACTCTCTCTCCTGAAGAAACTTTGTGCAGAGCCCCATGAGCTGAAGAAGCCACGGAGCAAAATCCCATTGGGCCTATATGGAAAGCACAGGTGTTCACAGGAAGGAATCAACACACAGCAGTATAGAACCTTTGTGCAATGCCCATCCTATACCTTCTCCCCAGCTAAGGAAAGCCCACTTAGGCTATGAGCAAGGTTGCTTGCTGTGGTGGTTGGCCCTGGATGGGTTCTGGCTCTGTACCCAAGTTAAGACAAAGGCTCCTTTAATCAACAGAGGTCAGAACAGCAGCCCTTACTTGAGCTTTCAGCCCAGGAGGTATTCCTGGAACCATATCTAGCTCAGAATGCACCACCCACATGGATTTCTAGAGTCCAGAGGACACCCACCACCACCTTTGTGGATCAACTGGTTGAGAGTAACCTTCACTCTCAGCTCAAGCAATCTACTGAGCATCAGCTACTACCTGTGAACCTTCTCCCAGCCTCTCCCCTCCCCACTGCCTTCCAGGGACTCTTCCTTGGTAGGACAGAGGAAGCAAAGGCAAGAGGGTGGCCAGAGGCTTTGCAGGGTGACGTTTATTTGCCAGGTTCAGCAGGCACACAATTAGCCCACCAACCTTCACGTACCAGAGCAGACCCACAGGCATGCAAGGAGAACGGCAGGACCACCATGGAATGCCAAGCAAGGGCGAGGACCAATATGGTTGCCTGTCCAGGCTGTGGTAGTGTCTGACAAAGGGCACCTGTCAGGAACCTCCCTCAGGGTACTAGGGAGTCTTATACTTCTTCATCCCAGCAAAAGCAACTTAACATGGCTCAGAGGCCCCTAGGCCTCTGATAGAAGCAACAGTAAAAACAGAGAAGGATCTTCTCCATGTTCTTGTTAAACTGAGAGCAGAAAATCCACCGTTCTGAAGGGCAAACCCCCAGATCATACTAAGGATTATCACCAATCAGCAGCCCCCCTGGGATAGAGAAGACTTATGGGCTGAGCCTGTGCAGGGTTAGCATACAGAAAGAGAATGGGGACATAGCCCTCCCTGTTTAGCCCATGGTAAGGATCCAGCTAGGCTGGGGCACTGGGTGCTAGTCCTGTACTATGTTCTATCAGGTCTCATTGCCACATCCTAATTGCTTCTCCTTTCCCGTAGAGGCCCAAGAGGTTCAGGGTACAGGGAAACCCACTGCAGGACTCAAGAGGGCAAGAAATAACAAGCGTCTCAGGAGGGCCTTCCCAGGGACAAAGATGGAAGCTTCTACCCTCCTACTCATTCTCTTATCATCGCTCATATTTCTAAGGACCCCACAGCTAGCATTTGGTGCCCCCAGCCAACACATGACCAATCTTGATTTAAAGCAAACTGCCCTAGATTTTTGGATACTCTGTACTAGCCAGCGTCTACTCCTAAAGCAGCCTACATACCACAGGTATACACCTTCATATGTAGGAGCCTAACACCACTGACAGGGCCTCGCTGGAGGACCAGCTCTCAGGGCAAGGCCACTCAATTTAGGGCCTGGGAAAGTATGCAGGGCCTGCCTGGGTGAATGATGAGGCAGGAAGGGAAGGAGAAAGAGAGCAGGGACCCCCTGAGATCCCTAGAGCAGCATCCCACAAGGAACAAAAATTCGTGAAGGTAGCAACAGACAGAAAAGCCACAAGGTATCCATGCAGGGGTTGGGGCTGGCCCTGCCTCTGGCCTGCCCACCACTCGCACATACACACAGGAGACAAGACTGCTCTCCCGTGGCCCCCAGGAATGCCCCACTAGGATGGGGAGCTTGGGGGAGCAAGGGCATCATGCCAGTGACTCTATGTACAGTGAAAAGCCCCTCATTCACTCTCCCACCCTCCTGCCCGCCCCCCATCCCCCACCAGACTGCCCACTCAGCTGGTCTCCTCTCTTCCAGACTCCTGGGCATAGCCAGTAGCCCCTTCTTTACTAGAGGGTACAGCCTGGCCTGTGGCACCCTCTAGGGTTGTGCAGTCCGGCTGGGCCATAGCCGGCTCAGGGGTGGCAGCTGCCTTGGCAGCTGGTGTGACACTGCTTTGGGTAGTGGGCACCATGCTCTCTTCTGTGGCTGGAGTGGCTCTCCCATCCGTGGCTGGAGTAGCGCTTCTGTCGGTGGCTGGGGTAACACTGCCATCAGTGGCTGGGGTGATGCTCCCATCAGTGGCTGGGGTGACGCTCCCATCAGTGGCTGGAGTGGTGCTGCCATCTGTGGCTGGGGTGGCACTACGGTCTGCAGAGGCCACATTTTCACTCTTGGTAGCACATGCAGCATCACCTTCTGTGGCAGATCCACTTGCAGCTGCAGCCCCACCTGCAGCCCCAGGGGTGGCAGTGTCTGTGGCTGAGCCAGACTGCACTGCAGCTGTGCCAGATTGCTCTGGTGCCCGGAGCCGTTTCATGAGGGTGGTCACTCGGACAGCTTTCTGAAAGGAGGACAGTGGAGGAGAAACTCAAGGTGAGGCTAGCTGGATCCAATCCCTGGCAATTGCTAAACCCAGCCCCTTCCTTGGTACCCCAGCTACTTCTGACCACCTTAGACCAGGGATCCAACTGCTCAGTACTCCACTTAAGGTCATGACAGCCATTCATGAGAACCTAAAGAAAGCTTGTCTATGGTTTTGCAGAGGTATGGTATGGGCAAGAAACTGGGTATCAGAAAGAACACTTAGGACTGGGCCAAGAAAGAGAACAATCAAAACTTACCTTCCACTTGGCCCTGGCAAAGTTCTTTTCAATCTGGGCACAAACACCATCCTTGATGTTCTTATCAGAAGCAGCATTGCCAGAAATCCTGGGAAGGGTACAAGTACATCTGGATTTGAGAGATATGGGTCTTTGGGAAGATTCTGTCCAGTCCTCCCACTACAGGATCCAAGACTACCAAGCAAAGCCTGTAGGCTGGCAGGAACTTGGGTCAAGGCCTCAGGGATGGGGACATTTAGGTATGAGGGGAATAGAAGTCAAGAGAAGCCTGGCCTCTCCTCCTTCAGTTCTCTCCTGGGTCTTGCTCACCATTCATGGGAGATAGCCTCTTCTGCAGTGATCCGCTGGTCTTGCTCCACCTCCATCAGCCTTGTGACCAAGTCTTTGGCTGGGGACAAAGTCAGGAAGGAGCTACGCATGGGCACCCCATCTCATTGTCTAGAGGTGATGAATGGGCTGGGGGGCAGGAGCAGAATCCAGCAGAGAAGCTGAGAGCAGCGCCTCCCTTCCCACTGCCCTACACTCTACCCACATACTGAGCATCTCCTCACCTGCTTGAGAAATATCATCCCAGTATGGAGAGTCAAACTCATAGTCGCCAGCCAGGATCTTCCGGAACAGATTCTTATCATGGTTCTCATAGTCATCTTCTTCTACCTCCTCATAGAAGGGTGGGTTACCTGAAAGCCTACATGGAAGCAGAGTCACCCAAGATAAGCCAGACATAGGGCTTCTCCCCACCCAGCTGCAAGCCTGCATGTCTACCCATCCACTCACAGGATATACATGATGACACCAATGGCCCAGCAGTCCACAGGGCGTCCATACCGTTGCCGGCCTACCACCTCCGGGGCTACAAACAATGTCCAAATGCTAGTCAGTATCAGGCCATCCACAACTACTACCTGAGATAGGGACATCCCCCTACCCAAAGTGATTCCCTCAAGGCTGACCTCCCCCAACCTGCCCCTGTCCCATCCCTGCTTGCCTAGATACTCAGGGGTCCCACAGGGCTCCTTGATGAGGCCATTCTCTAGCTTAGCCAGGTGGAAGTCGCTGATGACAATCTTCGAGTTCTTCAGCCGGTTGTAGTAAACCAGGTTCTCCAGCTGCTCAAGCCACATGTCATTTGGGTAGGCAGAAGAGGATACCATGAGGGCCTCAAAGTCTGGACCAATGCCCCAAGATACTTCCCATTGTACTCCAACCCCAGCTTGGCTTCAAATTGACCCAGTGATTCCGATCCTTGACTCACCTTGAGGTTCCTGTGCACAATCTTGAGTGAGTGCAAGTAGGCCACAGCCTCCAGGACCTGCCGCACCACATTGCTCGTGTCTCGTTCTGAGTAGTAGCCCTGGTCCAGGATCCAGTCAAACACCTCCCTCCCCGTGGCCCTGAGGGACACCAGCCCCTGAGCCCGGCGTGGGCAGGATTGGGGATGGGGCAGGAGTGTTTGGGAGGCTTCCCTTCACCAGGCAGCTGACTGGGCAAGGCACAGGGACTTAGAACCCCAAGGGTCCAGAAAGGGGTCTTTCCTTAGTTGCTGAGGGCAGGACAAATAAAGACCCCAGGGACTAGGGAATCTTGGGATCCCAGACCCACACTCACAGCTCCAGGAAGATGAAGTATTCTTTGCGGGTCACAAATACATCTACCAGCTGCAGGATGTTGGGATGCTTCACCCTAGAGGCGGGGAGAAGTCAGTAGTTAGAACTAGGTGAACCCTTAGGAGAATCCCTGGTCACTGTGGCAGCCACAGGACACTGACTAGCCAGAGGACGGTATTGCCTGAGTCTACCTGCCCTCTAAGCCCTTCCCTACAGCCTCCTATCCTTCCCTGCCCCCAGACCAGACCTCAACTCACATCTTGAGGATGCCGATCTCATTCTTGGCTGCCTTCCGCACCTTGCGGCCATCCCGCTTCTGAAACTTCTTGCAAGTGTGCAGCTTGCCTGTAGTCTTGTCCTTGGCCCGAAAGATTTCACAGAACTCCTCACTGTAGCAGGCAGGTCATCCACTCAGTCCTGGGCCTTAGTGTAGGGTACATTCCACACCCCCTCTGCTTGCCCACCCACCCATCTTTGCCCAGCAGGCCCAGCACTCACGTCTTGATGACCTGTCCCAAATCATATCTGTCAGTCACCTCCGATGGCTGGTTATAGTTCTTCTTGTCACCCAGAGTCACACACCCAAACGGCATTGCCAGGCTCTAAGCTGTGGGCAGGATGGGGATCTAGCTCAGCTACACCACTCTACTTCTCCCACATCAGATCTGCCTTTGAGAGACCCTAGCCTGGCTCAGGCCAAGCCAGAGCACCAGAAAGGGCTCAAGGTAAGCAGGCTGAGACCACTCTCTTTTCTGGCCATATATCCAATCACTCAGTTTGGCTGCCAGAACTACAAATGTGTTATGCTGATATATCAGGGAATAGTTCTATATTATATACACTTAAGAAGACTTATCAAACAACTTCTTTAAATTTTAGCTATTTTAGCCAAGTAGAGTGGCACCCGCCTATAATTCTAGCTACTTGGGAGGTTGAGGCAGGAAAATTACAAGTTCAAAGGCAACCTGGGCAACTTAGATCCTGTCTCAGAATAAAAAATAAGAACTGGGGATGTAGCTTAA